AGGCGCCGGTTTCTTCCACGTCATCGACGATACCCACGATACCTGGTGTTCGCGGGAAAGTTGCACACGCGTGCACACAATCGGAGTCGTTAAATGTCGACGCGTGTAATTTGCATCGCGATGCCTCTCCTTTCCGCCCGGTTCGACGAGGGAAAAATGGACGGCCGTGCCTGCTCTCCCGGCAGGCGTAATTACTCTACGTGTTAGAAAAGTGTGGTCGGTGTGTTGGTGAAGAGATGTGTACGGTTGTTGATGACGAGTTGTTAAGCACGAGTTTTGCGGTTATTTGAGGATAACGTAGGGATATTTGAGGTGGAAATTGTGTGAGATTAATTTTGGGATATTAAGCGATTCACTGTGGAGGATAGATAAAACGATGATAAGAGAAAAGTTTGATAAGTGAAATTTTTAATTATTTGTCAAATTATGTCTTTATAGAATGGTCTGAAATTCAATATAAATGAGATCAAGAGATTCTCGAAGTAAAATGAAAAAGAGAATTGCGTGGAAGGAATAAATTTGTTTTCGAATAAATAAAATTACAGAATTTTTCAAATGGAAATTAATAATTTCTTTATAGATGTGAAAATAATCGAAAAATAGAATATATTTTTTTGTTTTTTATTTGAAAAAGTTTTCAACAATTATTTATTTTTGTATTTGGAAAATGTTTAAATTCGATTTATATGAAAATGAAACCTTATATGAACAAATTTTATTCTGTATTTTATTTTGAATTTTTATTTATACAACCAATTACGGATCATCCTGTTAAAAACATATACCGATAGCCAAAAATTTAAAAATTATTTCTTTTTCATTTCTATATCGAACCTTTTTTTTAATTTCATTATTAATTTAATTTAAAATTGACGCATACACAGATGCATACATAGGATGCGTTAACAATTCTAAATTATCGTAAATCATAAAATTTATAGAAAACAAATTTAATTAACTCCTATATCAAATTTCAATTAAGATAATCGACAATTAGTTAAAATGGATAAATTTCTATGTTCCAAAATCATTTAGTTTAATGAATACCTCATTTTAAAGTTAAAGCAACGTGAATTAAAGGCAATTAATACATAGATATAGTTAAGTAACATAATGAATATAAATGAGTTTCTACATTTACATTTCTATCTTAATAAAAATAAAAATTAATCTCACTAAAAAGTACTTATCAATATTTTCAATAATAAATTAAAATGTAAAATCTAAATTTGCGATAATGAAACGCGAATATAAACGAACTACGATTACAATTTTGAAAGCGCAGAAATAAGAAAAAAAAAAGAAAAAAAATCTTCGAAACACAGTAATTTTAACAGGTCCGACAGGTTTTCGATGTTAAACAGATACAACGACCTCTGCCTTAAACTGCATATCATTCACCCACCACATTTTAAAATTCTTTTTACCAATGCCCAAAGCGCAACGCACACTTTAGCGAACATGTTAATTTGAAACACTGTCATCTTAGAGGGAAATAAGTTTCTCGAGAAAGAAGATTTAAAGAACGTAATAATTCTCTCTGCACTCTCTCTCGATTGGCTCTCGCTTCGAGCTCCTTTCCAAGGCTGTATTTTCTCCGTACCGTGAACTTTCTATCGTTATTATATGTAACGCTTTTTTTTTTTTCGCTTTTTCCTTTTTCCTCGACCACACACACACCATTCATCATCCCCTGTGCGCAGCGATGACGAGGCCGGTTGATGTCGAGGACGCTAATTAGTCGGCCACGTGGTCTCGCGAGCGCGCGAAGAAACCGAGAAAGACCAAGCCTTCACCCCCCTTCGCGTAAGGTCGCTTTAAAACTAGCTCCAGGGGAGCGTAATCCATCATCGAAAACGGCTGGTGTAACGTAACCGGCCGGTTATGCCCACCACTAATCAACGACGCTGACTTGCCGTATAATTAGATCTGCTTGGGCTCCCCTCCGCTCACCCTTTCCCTTTTACCCAACCCGACGAGACTCGTGCTCGTGACTAGCCTCGTGCACATAGAACACAAGACCAAAGACTCTCTCTCTCTCTTTCTCTCTTTCTGGTGCATTGGGAATCGCAAAAAGCATGCCCGTGTTCGATTTTCCCCCTTCGTGAACGTTGATTAGTGACGTACCCTTTGAACGAGAATCAGGAAATTGTACCATCTGAGTGCAGATGATGATGACGGAATGGAATTGGAGAAATTTATGGATATCCTTTCTTCTGTTATTTATTCTATCCTTTGAAATATTTTCTCGAATCGAAATCAAACCCGAAGATCTGTTCGAAATTGTGACTAAATGGAGAAGAGATGAAAGTCATATATATATATATATATATATATATATATATCTTGACATCACTCTTTAAAAAATCTA